GGCTGTTCTAAAAAAAGATCTGTTCTTACGCAGCACGCGTACTTACCTATATCTAACGTTACATTTCGAATTATACAATATTCTAAAGAAGAAATTCCATCAATTCAATTTATGACAAAGAAATACTGTTTAGAAATTGTGATAGAAGTAATAAATAATATATAAATGGTAGGTTCGGCAATACTAAACCTAATTATGTGTATCACGTTTAGACAATTAGTTTTACTTTATTGTATTACTCCCAATAATAAGAAGCATAGGCGGGAAAGGATGTCCGCTGAACACAGCATTTTATCTGGAAACAGAACCAAAAAAAGAGAAGCACAATTTTGAGTTTTAAGAGTGATAAAAGTTGTAAGAAGAGGACCAGGAAGTAAGCCACGTTGCCTTGTTCTACCACTTTTTCTACATACCTAATAGAGCTATCCGACGTTGGAGGCTTAAGATAAAAGCGCACTAAACTAATTCGGCATTTGTTTTAAATGCATTCAAAGTAAAAATATGTTTTTATGTTGTTTTATGTCGAGTACCTACCAATAAAGATGTTACCAACATAAAAACTGAAAAAGCTATTTCTTAAAGTTCATATTTATTTACAGAACGATTATTTTATGTATTTTCTTCGCAATGTAGGGAAGGAACTGATTGAATTCTAGTGAAAGAAAACCACTTGAATAACAAATCACAAAAATAAATTGCTTTTTTGTTTACCCATAGGGCCAAAAATCCCAGTCTGAGTGGTAAGTCATTTTTATATTCGATTTCTAAACGAAATATAAATGCTAAAATTAAAATACATTACTGCCTTAGTTGAATCATTCAGAAATACAATGAACCCTTTTGTAACTTAGAGATGCTTTCTCGTTTTAAAAAAGTTCTAATTGTTAATGAGTATCTAGAAAGCCTTTATACTGCTTAGTTCAATTTTGAAATATTGTTCGTCATCCTTTATGAATAATACAGCTAAGTCTTACGAAGTACCTATCTGTAGAACAACCCAACGAGAAAAGCTGCAAAAGCAGATGACATTACATATTTAATAGTTTCATGGTCAGTGGTCCCCGAGTAAAGTACTGTTTACACTAATATCAAATGTAACTAACCAAGATATCGAAAATCCTCTAATTTGTGTCTCAAATTGTTACATTGTATAGTTCTGGCGTTAGGTACTATACCCTTCCTTCCAGAACATTATTTTCATTTCATTTACAAATGTCTATAACATCTCCATGATACGTACATATGTATATGCTAAAACTCGTATATCATGCTCAAGTTTAAGGAAACCAATCAACCAAAAAAGCGCGTCCTATATAATTTGTAATTCTGCTACCCCTCAGTCTAACCGCCACTTGTGTATATGTCGCTGCTACACGTATAAAATATGTCAGTGACACGTAAACCGAGCGGCGTGGTCAGCGGTTTGATCTCAGTTTACTGTTAGGATGGATACTGATGGTTAAATTCCGGATAAGCATGTGTTATAAATAAATCATAAATTATATGTTTTCTCAAAATGGTCCAACAATCAAGCAGTTTGAATAAAGAGAGATTTTCCACAAATTTTCATTTTTGTTCTTTTACTTTATAAAATATATGTATTAGGTACCATTTTCATTTTTAACTGGCTTTTATTCCACGAATTTTCTGAAAACTTCCTCTTTGTATTTGTAATGTCTTACAGAAATCAGTTCAACTGTTTTAGAGATTAGTCAATAAAGTCAGGAAGATAATTTCTTGAAGAGTAGCTTGGGTCTTATATCTTTAATAGCGCCTTTCTGTTAAAGATGTTTTAAACAACATTATTAAAATGAAATGAAATTAATCCCTTCAATAATAGGTACCTATCGTTTTATGATCATTTTTGAACATAATTTTATTTGCTTTAAGGTCATTACGTAGCTCATAATACATTATACTGATAATGAACTTAATGCTTTTAAAACCTACAAACGCTTCTTTTTAATAGTTTAAGGATACTTTGGTTGAATTTTGCAGACGTATCTAATTCTTTACAAAAAAACATTTTCACGTTTATTGAGTTTAAATGGTGTATAAAAACTGCCGTGACGTCGAAGAGATCACTTTCTCTTTAAAGTATTTGTAGAAAATGCACCAGACTGGAAAATGCAAAAATTTTGAAGCACCGAAACCTTTACTCTAGTGTTTCGTGTCATAGCGTTTGGGTCATAAAAGGAATCTATTTGCCAAACTAAATTTATGACAAAAATATATATGAATACAGATTTAAAATTACTGAAACTTTCTTCATTTTCATTTTATGTATATCTCGCAAAATTACGGCTTGATTTTATGATACGAAAGAAAATTATGAAATCATGTTTTGCATTCACAAAGTCCCTTTTCAGTGGTTACATTCACAGACGAAGATAACAAAGTCCAATTAGAGTTTAGACTATTACAAATGCATACTAGTTTTTAATATTCAGAAGGGTGTATAACTACATTTTGTATGAAAATTCTTATGGTTGAAGTATAATTTTGCAAACTAAACTTTTAATAAGAACAAAACAATTAGACTCGAGGGAATGAAAGAAATTTCAAAAATAACCAAGAAACATACAAACAATCTCTCAGAACCTGAATTCATTGAAACTAAGTTTCAATTAAAAATAACGGCAAGGTTTGACCGTACTTTAGTTGTTATAAACCAATTGTTTGATTTATGGAATATTAGAAATGAGAAGTTAGCATTACACCCAATAATAATATAACTATAAACATGTACCTACATTTAGCTCCATCAATTATATAAATAATATAACTGTCGATAATTATGCTTCGGTATTCAATCTCCCATGGCACGCATCTTCATAATTTTTTATTAGAGGTTTCAGGTATATTTAAAAAGAATAAGGATATAGACAAAAACGACCTGCAATATACTTATAGCGTGCCATTCAAGAAAACGGGCGGCTTAGGGTGAGAAATGCGGAAATAAATCAAAAAACAATCTGTAAAAATGATTGCATGGTGTTATTTATTTCTAAACTCAGCTGGGGTCGCCCACGACCGTATTATCAAGAAATATATATATCAAAACAATGACACAGTTATTTCTAATAAATTTTTTATGCTGCCAATGCTAACATTCGAAGAAAAATTATGTGTTTATAATATTAGAAGAAGTGCCTGAAATGCAATATTGTCTGTTCAAATATCCGGAATATTTAAGGTGATTTATCGTTATTTCTATAAGTGGTCACCATTATCTAGAAAATCGTAAAAGCCTTTAAAGTTCTCTAATTCCGGAGGTAGCTGTCACAATTTTCTCTACAACACTTAATCATATTAAAGTATCTTCTTTCTACATTTTTCATTTATAATCTATATCTGCATAAAAGTTTTAAACCCCAAATTTCCCGTCCCACATTCGCAATGATATGTTACGGATTGAACGGATCTATGATTGGTCTCTGCTCATCCTAGCTGTCTTTGCTCATTCTAGGTGCGTCAGCCGGCATGGCGATGTACATAGATACGTAATAATATATAATTAATTTTGAAGTTTCAGACCTAACCGTATCTCGGCTCGTTTTGTTTTAAAACTAAGAGGGTTACAATGGCTGAGTGCCGCCACGATGGCATCTTTAGTTAACGACTCAGTCGCTACATCCATTTAGAGTGATTAGTTTTGGCAAATCTCATGATACTTGAGTTTTCCTTAAGAAAGAAAAATTTGTCAGTTGTAACCCTTTGCTACGATGCCTTATTTTCATTCGGAGCGGCGTAGTTGCTATTCTAGTACAATAAACAATGTTCCTGAATAAAAAAATGCGTCCTCATTCTACTCCTCCGACAGCCAGTCTGAATCAAGAGCCAAGTTTATTATCTTTTTGTCTTTACTAGAAATCCAGTGTCTACTGCTCGCGATGGTTGAAAAAAAACCGGGTCAAAGAACACCAACAGCCAACCACTTCAACTAACCTGTTTATTCCCGCAGGAATCTTGCTTAAGAACAAGATGAAAACGAAGAAGAAATACTCCAAGAAAACTGTTGTCTATTTGGAAACCGAGAAAAACTATTATGAATCCTACTCCTCTAAAACATGACGTCAATACCTAAATATTCTTTTTGTAAATAAAGATAATAATTGGAGTTATAATTAAATATAATTACCAGAGTCGAAAAATAGGTCTTGTATAAGTCCTGCCAGATAATTTTTGCTACTTTCAAAGTCCTTATTTATACTTAATTTTTTTTTCTTTCAATTATAATCCTGTTTTAAGCCTTTAAATTATTTTTCGTGTATTTCATAATTTACGGGTAACTTAAGCATGCTAAATGAAAATCTTTTTTTTAAGAATTTTTTAAATAAAATAACATTTTCTAGTTTGAGGTCTATTAAACGAAATTATGAATTACTTAGAATTGCCTTTGTTTTAAAAACTTTAAAAATTACTGTTAACCAATCATTTCTAATAGTAAGCATTCCGTTGCTTTAATTGAAACCCTTATCTAATGTATTTTCATTTTAAGTAACAATAAAAAAGTTAATTGGTCGTTAACTTTTATATATGTACAATACACTCTGGAACAAAAACTAGACTAGAATTTCTCACGAAAACTATATTCTGTATTAGAAATATGTAAAATATCTCAAGAATAATAAAAGTGAGATTGAAGAACGATCAAAATCCGAAGTCTGTCAAAAGCGTCCATGAACATAAAAAAGTTTTAATTTAAATTATCTACATGATACTATCTATTGATTGATTTTCCTTCATTAATTGTCGCTCTAAGAATTTCATTTATTTATAAACCGGAGCAATTAAACAAAACGCAAGTCCTCAACATTTAATTAAACAATCTACGACTGTCACTAAACGCCATAAGATCAGGCAAAGTTTGTGTGAAAATGGAGAAAATCAAATGTGTACACGTTTATTATTATTTTGACTTGTAGTTGAGAAAAATTGGTAAAATAAATTGCAAAGAGTTCATCAGTATCTTATCACGCTAGAGCTTTCGTCAGAGACCATAGTCCGGGTATTCTTCACATCGATACTTGTAAGGCTTTATCGTTTGATTAGTATTCAGTCGTTTTCTCTAAGACGCGCGTTTAGAGAACGATTCTTTTGTCATTGATTTTTATTTTGCTTATTTTGCGTTAGAATGTCGCGATACAAAAAAGTGTTGAGTTACGGACAGTTGATTGCTGCAAATAATTACAAATTGTTTAGATTGCCAATTCAATTGGTCGCAACACGACGATCAATTGTGTTCTCGTGTGTACGAACAATCTCAAGCTTTGGTACCAGATCTCCCGTGGTGAGTAATTTTATTGGATTTTGTCCCCGATCGTCAGGAAATGTTTCACTGAGAGTTAATTAGAGCTAATAACATTTTATTTGGACGAAGCGACTTGTTGCGCGAAGTTTGGGTACGTTTACAAAATAAAACAACACTGGAGGGTTGTTTTAAGGAAACTGAAATTTGCAAAGGGAAATGCTTCTATAATCCATTTAACCATGTATAGCTACATATCGGGTAGTTGTAACTTTAAGATAACAATAACTTGTTGTTCATACTTCATACTTTAATGTTTGCATTTAGATGTCTTATATATGCTTTTGATAGCATGCGTATTGAGAAGAAGTATTACTGCAATTAAATTAATAAGCGCATTTTGTTATTACGATTGACGTTACTAAATTTTTTGTATTTCAACTAATTTATAATCAAAGGTTAAATGTATATTTGATGAAAAAATGGGTTAAGCGATGTAAATAAATAAATAAATAAATATAAGAGGAAGCTTATCAAACTCCTTCGGAGAGGTTTATCGGTGATTTAACATGCAAACAATGAATGTTATTTCTCGTTGTTTGGTATAATTAATTTGTTGTAGTGAATGGATTATGCAAACTAAGAATATTGCTTGTTTTATTACATAAGAAGATAAAATTTTGTATAAAACAGTATAGTTAGGTTTTCGTTACCATTTTTAATTTTGAGGACCAAAAATGGATCAATTTCTGATGTACTAAATTATTGGCAGTTTAAAACTTTCTTGGTCAGGGAAAGAAAACAAAATTTCAACGTAAAATATTTACAGTTATTGCAACAACTAATTGATCATAATCGTTGAATTGATTATATTTATATCTATATATGTACATACCTACCCTTCCTCTTTAGCATAGAGAATTACTCTCTATTGTATAAGGGTTGCTGCAGGAGGAATGGATTATAAGCAACTGGACACAAACTAGGGTAATAAATTTTAACTTAATTTGCACCTAGTCGTAGTATCATAGAAGATATTATCTATAAACTTTTTGTTAACAAACTCTGCACATATAAGTATATAAATGATATATCGGAAAGTTGCAGCATAACCCATTACTTCATAATTTTTACAATGGTGTAAGTACGATTGTAACGGTGGTCTCACGTTAGTCTCCAGACCACCAGACCAATTTAGGATGAACAATGAATTGAAGTATTTCCAATTATGTTTATTAAAATGATTTACAAAATGAAACTTCATAGAATATTAGAATTCAAACAGCAATTTAAGGAATTGCAAAATGCACAAAGCATAAGGCACCAGTCAATGGATCTCATGGCCGGGTTCAAAACGAAACCAAAAATTACAATTTTGCTTTTATTGAAAGGCTACTTAATGTAATTCTGTCGCGAAATAGGAATATGTATAATTAAGAAAGAAAGGCAAACCAAGATAATAGAAAATCAATAAGTTGTTTTTATTTATTTTTTTGCCGGCTTACCGTATGAAAAATAAAACTAAAAAAGTTTCATATTTGTAAAAAGGTATTTTTGAAACATAGAGTAAGCAAAGTATTAGATAGAATTATTATTTTCTTTATATTAGCAATAATGTTAACAAAGTGGCAGTTTTGAAGTCAGCTTACCTTTATTATTGGATGCATCCCTTCATTTTCAATCAGCCAAGAAAAACACTAATATTTCACATCCATGGCGTAGGTAAGCAAATCTCTTCAGGATTATGTTGAATTTGCCTGAAACGAAAATATTTTTTATTGGGTTTTGTTACGTTATTGGCTTTACAGTATAGCCATCAGAAGAGGAAAGTTCGATCTAAAAAATTGTATTATCAATAATTCGATTATTTTTAAGTGATTTTCCTGTTCGTCTTGGAGATTTACAGTTGATTACTTTTTTCGAAGGTTTTCAAAGTCTTTGAAAACTTTATTACCGAAATGTCGCTAACGAAAAGCCTATTTCGAAACAGACAAAGTTTCAGACAAATTCCGAAAAGTTACGAACGCAAACTTTGTCAATTTAGATAAAAAGTAGTGGCCAAAAACTTAATTTTTCAGATTTCTAAACCTGTTTTTTTTTTGCAAAAATGCCCAACTAGCAACTGTATACAGGTATTTAGCCTATGACTTCAAAATATCGTCCCGTTATCAAAAAATAGCAGAAATTTGAATCTTATCTTGTGTTTCTATTCTTCTTGTACTTTATACATTGTCTTAATTTATTCTTCTTTTATTTTTAGACTTGCATCAAAACCTTGGTCTCGTTCCTATTAAGTTTGTCTAAAGTTTTGTTTGCCTTATACAAAAGCATATATGCTTTTTATTTATGATATGTTTTGCTTACCATCTGTAGAAGACTGCTACTTATTCTGGGATACTTTTTCAATAAAATGATTTTACATTTTTACGATTTCTTTAGAATGATGTCATAGCTTAATGAACAACAACAGTTACATAACTTAAATTGAAATAAATATTCGCAGTTTTGAAGAAATAACTGTATCTATTAAAAAGTGTTTGAAATGGCAAATGAAATCCGAACATGCTTTCCATAAATTAATTATTATTTCAGACCAGACTTTTCGTGAACTTTTTTTATTTTATCATGTTATCCTGCAGAAATCAGTTTCTACTTTAAATAAGGAAGTTTTGCGTAGGCGAAGATTTCAATTCAGCCACTAAATTTGCATTAAGAAGTTAACTTTGCAATCTGTTACAAAACTGGAACTTAAAGTTTAATTTATTATCTAGCGGGTAACAAAAGAGGCGGTCTAATACTACCTAACAGCGATAATTTTCAGTCGACGTAAATGATGATGATACATTAATTTTTTCTTCTTCCTTGTACTTATTTCGCCGTATCGTATCAAACAGTTCATAATATTTTTTGAACTTCAAAAGTAAAATCCTGCCGTAGCTTTTGTTTATTATTTTTTATTTAGGTGTATTAAAAGGTGTAATTAAAGTATTTTTTATATTTTATGCTACGGTCTCACATTTACATTTCGCTGAAATGAGAGATCAAAAGGAACGACGGAAGTTATTAAGGCAGTAATTCGCAATTCCATAATATTCTCCCTTCAGTTATTTCCCAGATGTGTAATAAAGTAACGACTAAACACTCTGATATACAGACTGTCCCATTTTAAATTACTCACCTGGAAACTTCGTCAGGGAAAGTGCTTAAACTAAACATCACCTCTACAAAAGTTGTAGGGTACGAAGAGGAAATCTATATCCATAGTTACTTAAAATTGGACCTTAAATAAATTGGAATTTTAAACAGCACTTTCTATTATTGACATTTTTTGGATTCGGAAACTGTGTNCAAAATAATAAATTTATGATTATAATAAAATTCCGGTGTTGTCTTAGTTTTATTGAATTACTTATTTAATCTATCCAGTTATGGTTCAGCATTGCACCAACTATAAGGTTATTCAGGGTTTTGTTCGGAGGAGAAGGCTCAAAATAATAATTAATTCCTTATCAATTTAAATACAGTTTTCTTCGATTCAATTAAAAAATGTTTCTTTTTTGAAAACATCCTTATCTCTAATTGTTTAGTATGAAAGTAATCTTGATATAATTTTACTGAAGCGTACTGACATGAAGAATTGTGCCACTTAATGTTTACTTTTGAGTTTCTCAGGAACAAACTCTGTCGTTTATTCACAGATTTATAGTTCGCTATAAACGCTCAACAGACGAAGATTGATTCAAGTATTTACGTTCGTTATTATACTAAGTGATAATAAAGTAAAAAAGAGTATCTAAGAATAAACATAATTTATTTTATGGTGATAAAACTTTTATAGTAACCTTGATATACATTTGTACATAAATGAAAACAAAAATAAGGAAACTTTCAAATGTCTATTTTAAATAAATAGGTAAAAACAAAAGAAATTATTATTCAATTTCCGTATTTGCTGAAGAATCAATGCTATTAGAGACTGAACTGTTTGTTTATAGATATCCATTATTTAGTTTTGATATTTTAATTTAATGTCACTGAACTACTAAGTGTAGTCAAGAAATTCATCATTCATCATCCAAGGCGACAATAAATCTAGAGATACACTATCCGTCCCTCCGTTTGTCAGAGGGTTGTGGTATCCAAACGAAATGGGATGTTGACTCGAAATTCAGGCATAATATGTAAATCCTAGACCCAAAGACGAAAATGACATTTAGAGCTATAGGAGGCTATTCGAAGAGGGCACAATACGTGCACATAAGAGAAAAAATAAATAATTGTATCCGTTGAAACGAGTCTTGCAAGCACAGTCTAAATTTGCGATTTAAATCTACATTGTAGGATTATCAAAATCACAGTTCTTTGATGTATTTTGCTATTAGGCCTGTTGCTAAAAGAGCTTTACGTAAGAAGAAGTAATTTTAAAAATATCTAAAAATAAAGTATCTACTTCAATTTGATCGATATTGACTACTAAACTGATAAATTTTTCACAGTGGTAAGTTTCTTACAGCCTCACAATTGACTAGGCTTTTATACGTGCATACAAATATTTGAAGCCAAACTGAACTTGTTGGCTTTAATTTTACTATTATCATAGAATGTTTTGAAATAGTTTCATTCAAGTATAAATAAATAAAATAAAACGTCACTGAAATAAAAGGTATTCTCCCTGTTGAAAAATATATAGTTACAGTTTGAATTGCTAATAACGAACCAGGAATCCTTCGTTTGCGTACTTTTTTTATTAGATTGTTTATGATTTTGGTTGTCTGACCTTTTAAACGTTAGTATAACGATAAAGAAGTGATTATTCTATCTGCAGTTCACGTGGGGCAACGGATATAAAATTATATCTTTCTAATGTCATAATACATAATTATAATAAATATTATTATTACATCTATCATATTTTTAATTTTCCATATTTTTAAGATTTTGTAAAACATCAAAAAAGTCAAAAACTTGACATTACAGCAATCGAAATTAAAAATATAACAGAACAAATCCAACACGAAAAATTGGACGAGTGTCGCAATAAT